TCTTAATCTGATTAGGATTGAGAATGATCCAGGTAATTTTCGATCAGTTTGCTTGAGTGTTCATGTATTTCTTTATTTCTTGTTCAAGTGTGTTTTGTTGACTTTAATTTTTCTTGTGATTTTCTGCAGAGGTGCCCAGCTTTAATATTCCCTTGAGGAAGACTCCTCGGAAGAAGAAATCTGGGACCACCGCTGGGTCGACCGGCGATCAGGCTCGTCAGGCCGAGGGGTCGACCACTCCCCCTCGCCCAGAGCCGCAGCAACAACCTCCGCCACCGCCTCAGCCGCAACCTCAGCAACAACAACAACAACAACCACCGCCACAGCCACAAAAGCAACAGCAACATTAGCAACAAAAACAACACCCTCGAAAATAGCAACCATCCAAACAACAACAACAACAACAACAACAACAACCCTTCAAACAACATCAGCATCGACAAACTCCCCCACCTCCTCTTGGATAAACTTCCCAGCACACATCCGCCTCTGCCTCGACCACTAAGGCCTCTACCACCAAGGCCTCGACCACTTCTAAAACTGACATCAGCCAATCCTCCTCACAAAAAACCAACAGCCAAATCACTGCCTCCCATACTAAAACCAAAGACCAGTCTTCTTCCGAGCATCATACCTCCTCCAAAACCAAAACACAAGAAAAACCTCCCCTCGAACAACCATCCAAAACCTCAGATGCCGATTCGACCAAGGCCATGGTTGATTCCAACGGCCTGGACCATCCAGGGCATGACGTGGCCCTAGGAAAACGTCCTCGCACCGACCAACTGGAAACAATTTGAAAGCGCGTGTGCACCAGCCATTTCCCTCCTGATCTCTTGCCTCCGAAACCCTCCTCTCTGCTATCGACCCCATTGAATAAAGTGGTCGACCGCCTCGAGGTTGCACTCCTCGAGGACGACCTCAAGGGCACCGACGCCACTTTGCCCGAGGTTGGGGACTAACTCGTACAGTGGCTTGTTCAGGTATTATTCATCCTCTGCTTGCTCCAATCTTCTTCTATCATTTTCCCTCACCACATATCTATTAAAACTCTATATTCTCTGTGGTTATAGGGCTTGGTCCAATTTTTACCCTTGGCCAAGAAAGCTCGAGACAGCTCTGGAAAGTCTATTAAGCTGCTCGAGGGCATTGTTCGTTCTGTGAGCGACAATAATGCCACCCTCTTGCACCATAATGCTAAGCTCCACGAGATGCAAACTGAGCAGAAGGCCGAGTTCGAAGTCAAGGTTAAGTCTCTTAATGAAGAGCTTGTTAAGAAGGACAAAGCTCTAGCGGATAAAGAAGCCGTTCTTGCGGTGAAGGAGGTGGCGGTGGCGGAGAAAGAGGCTGCTTTGAAGGAGAAGGAAGTGGCGCTCGAGAAGGAGCGGGCCGCTCGGGCTCAGGCGGAAGCCGCTCGGGCACAAGCAGAGTCTGCTCGAGCAGAATTGGAAGCCACCATGTCAAAAGAAATGGCTGCCCACGCTGCTCAATGTAAACGCTACGCTGATGCTGCTGCTCTTCGAGCTCGGCAAATAATGTGGGCTACTACTACTGGGCAGCTTTTCCTCCGTGAGCACCGTGCACAAGTGGTGGCCGACTTTATGCGGTCACCACAATTTTTGAAGGAAGTGCAGGACTTTGGGGTGGACTGTTTCCAGTTCGCCTTGCAAAAGGCCGGCGAGCACATCGCCGAGGATGACTTCGAGCAGCTCGACCCTGGGGCTATCTGGGATGCCTTGCCTAAGGTTCCTTCTAGCTTTCAAGGTGATCCTAATTTACCGCTCGAGCATGAGTGGTGGTCGGGGCTGCTCGAGAGAACCTTGGCTCGATCGGATGTATTGAAGAAAACCCATGCTCTGCCCAATGGTGTGACCCCTCCAGCTCCTATGTTGGTCGCATTGGCCGAATCCATTCGACGACGCCCACTCAATGAGGCTTGCGACTCAACCTCTGGGACCAGCCACCCGCTTGATCCTAACGCCTCCAATAGCAATGCCGACTCCGCAGTTGCTCCTCATCCATAGACTAGCTCGTTCTGTAGTTTGTTTTGTTAGGTTCGCTATACTATACGGATCAAAATACACAGCGGAAATTTAAAATTTTGTAAGTATTTATCTCATATATACTTATTCCGCACATACGTATAACGAAATAACGGATAAGCATCATTTAAAATCTAGTAACTTTTACTAATTTTGATTTGTAAGATAATTTTGAAAATTACCTTTTAATCTCCTCCTCAAAGATGTTTGTGGAAATCAGTTTCCAGTTGAACTCTTCTCGCTTTAGGAATCCAAGTGTCTTCCCTCTAATGGAGTCCACCTTTTGAAATCCAACATCGATAACCTCTTTCTTTGTTAGTAGAAAAGTATCGGTTTTGATATAGGAATATTGTTTAGAGGATTCAATTGGGAGATTTATTAAAAACTTTTCTTTAATTATTTTAAGAACTCTTTCTTAAAATTGTATCTTGTTTAGAAATGAAGAACACTTCTTCTTTCTTCTCTCTTTTTCAACTCTTGAAAAATTTTCAAACTTTTTCCACATATGTGCAAACATTTTGCACCTATTTATATTAAACTTTTTAGCATAAAATAATCAACATTTGATAATTATTTATTTTAAATAAAATCATATTTTATTTAAATAATCTCACCAAATATTGACTTGTAATTAATTATGTGAAGTGGTTCATAACCACCATCTACCACAATTATTTTGTCTTTTTATTATTTTAATCTTTAATCATAATAAAGATAAAATAATAATTCTTGAAAACATTTTTCAAGATTTTATTAAAATAATCTTTTCTCCCAATTATATAATAATATCCTCTTTATAATATTCATATTATTATTTGGATTTGAATTTTTTAAAATCATATTATAAAGTCCAACTATTAATTTAGTAATTACATTAATTATGTAATAAATATCCAAAATCTAATTAATCAATCCAATTGATTAATTTATAACATTCCTTTAATTGACATCTAATGTATAATTGGATAATTAATTAAATAATCATATTATTTAATTAATCCTTGTCAGTTAATTCTAACTCTTTAGAAATATCACTTTAACTTGTTTTCATTCAAAAATTGGAGTGACCTTTTAGGTTCACTATTAATACTAGTAGTGGGATTAAAACTTACTTGTAATTTGAATTAATCATATTAATCCTTATTCTTGAAATTAACCCCTTAATTTCAAGAACCCACAAATCATAGGAACACCTAGCAAGTAGTCACCTAGTATTAAGTGAATAGCGAGTAAACCTTTTCAACTACAATTGCATACATGTAAAATCCTTTCGACAACTAATTTCCCGATTAAATCATGGGTATGGTTTTTAGTCGAAACCCATATTGATTTAATAACTATGATTCCATTTCAAGTTTTGTGATTCTCTTATGAATCTCCATTCATACTGCCTTGGCCAAGGACTTCGAATCACAAACTATGAAAAACATAGGAAATTCACTTATCTCATAAATGTTGTCAAATTCTCTGTTGGCCACTAACAAATCTCCATACATATTAATACAATACCCAAAATATCCCTTTAGTGATTGTCATTGCAATCAAAGTATAAATCAAAGTAAAGTACAATACGCACAAGATTACCATTGTACCTCAAGCCTAAGGATCACTCATGTACTATTGTAACATGAAATTTCCTATTCGACAAGAAAAACATCCATTTAAGAATTTTCATACGGTCATGTTCAGTGAACTTGTTCCCTAACAAGCACCCACATATATGTACTTGCATCACATGCTAATGTTGATGGAATGCAACATTCTTATCCGATAAGCATACATCAAATGTGCAAGTCTTACCGGGTTATTCGATATCCAATCTCGAAATACCCAACGACTTAGAACTTTGGCCTTGTTTGGATATCAGCGATTAGCTGTTAGCTGTTAGCTGTTTGTAACAGCTGTTTTGACCAGCGAATTATATTAGCGGTTTGACCAGCGGATTGTGTCAGCGGTTTGTACAAGTGGTGTTTGGTAAATTAGCTGTTTGTAATTGGCTTTTAACATGCAAAATTACATAAAAGGACATTCATAAACTTTAACTTTTTTTTTTTTTTT